TACCAAGGGAACGTTTTATGCAAAGATGGGTGCAATAAAGGACAGAAATGGTATGGGCTTAACAGAAGCAGAAGATATTAAGAAGAGGTGGCAAGAAAACACACAAAGCTATGCAAAAAAGAACTTCATGATCCAAATAATCACAATGGTGTGATCATCACCTAGAGGCAGACATCCTGGAATGTGAAGACAAGTCGGCCTTAGGAAGCATCACTATGAACAAAGCTAGTGGAGGTAATGGAATTCCAGTGGAGCTACTTCAAATCCTAAAAGATGATGCTATGAAAGTACTGAACTCAATATGCCAGGAAATTTGGAAAACTCAGCAGTGGCCACAGGACTGGAAAAGGTCAGTTTTCATTCCAATCCCAAAGAAAGGCAATGCCAATGAACGCTCAAACTACCACACAATTGCACTCATCTCACATGCACATAAAGTAGTGCTCAAAATTCCCCAAGCCACACTTCAGCAGTGTGTGAACTGTGAACGTCCAGATGTTCAAGCTGGATTTAGAAATGGCAGAGGAACCAGAGATCAAATTGCCAACAACTGCTGGATTATCAAAAAAGCAAGAGAGTTCCAGAAAAACATCTACTTCTGCTTTATTGACTATGCCAAAGCCTTTGACTCTGTGGACCACAACAAACTGTGGAAAATTCTGCAAGAGATGGGAATACCAGAACACCTGACATGCCTCTTGAGAAATCTTTATGCAGATCAGGAAGCAATAGTTAGAACTTGACATGGAACAACAAACTGGTTCCAAATAGGGAAAGGAGTAGGTAAAGGCTGTGTATTGTCACCCTGCTTATTTAACTTATATGCAGAGTACATCATGAGAAACACTTGGCTGGATGAAGCACAAGCTGAAATCAAGATTGCCAGGAGACATACAACCCAGCAATCCCATTGCTGGGCACACACACTGGGGAAACCAGAATTGAAAGAGACACATGTACCCCAATGTTCATCACAGCACTGTTTACAGTAGCTAGGACATGGAAGCAACCTAGATTTCCATAGGCAGATGAATGGATAAGAAAGCTGTGGTACATATTCACAGTGTAATATTACTCAGCTATTTAAAAGAACTCATTTGAATCAGTTCTAAGAAGGTGAATGAAACTGGAGTTTATCATACAGAGTGAAGTAAGTCAGAAGGAAAAACACCAATACAGTATATTAACACATATATATGGAATTTAGAGAGATAGTAACGATGACCCTTTATGTGAGACAGCAAAAAAGACACAGATGTAAAGAACAGTCTTTTGGACTCTGTGGGAGAAGGTGAGGGCGGGATGATTTGAGAGGGACCATTGAAACTTGAACATTATCATATGTGAAGTGGATCACTGGTCCAGGTTGGATGTATGAGACAGGGTGCTCAGGGCTGGTGCACTGGGATCACCCTGGGGGATGGGATGCAGAGGGAGGTGTGAAGTGGTTCTGGATGGGGAACCCATGTGTGCCCGTGGCTGATTCATGTCGATGTATGGCAAAACCACTGCAATATTGTGAAGTAATTAACCTCCAATTAAATGAAAGAAATTAATTAAAAACTAAAAACAAAAAGAAAGAAAGCTCTGGTACAAATACACAATAGAACATTATCCAGCTATTAGAAAGAATGCATTTGAATCAGTTCTAATGAGGTGGATGAATCTGGAGCCTATTATGCAGAGTGAAGTAAGTCAGAAAGAAAAACACCAATACAGTATATTCACACATATGTATGGAATTTAGAAGGAGGGTAATGATGACCCTATATGAGAGACAGCAAAAGAGACACAGATATAAAGAACAGACTTTTGGACTCTGTGGGAGAAGGTGAGGGTGGGATGATTTGACAGAATACCATTGAAACGTATATTACCATATGTGAAATAGATCACCAGCCCAGGATCAATGCATGAGACAGGGTGTTCATGGCCGGTGCACTAGGATGACCCTGAGGGATGGGATGGGGAGGGAGGTGGGAGGGGGGTTCAGGATGGGGGACACATGTACACCCATGGCTGATTCATGTTACTGTATGGAAAAGACCACTACAGTAAAGTAAAGTAATTAGCCTAAAATTAAAAATATATATATTAATTTAAAAAAAGATTGCTGGAAGAAATATCAATAACCTCAGATATGCAGATGACACCACCCTAATGGCAGAAAGTGAAGAAGAACCAAAGAGCCTCTTGATGAAACTGAAAGAGGGGAGTGAAAAAGTTGGCTTAAAACACAACATTCAGAAAACTAAGATCATGGCATCTGGTCCCATCACTTCATGGCAAATAGATGGGGAAACAGTGGAAATAGTGACAAACTTTATTTTCTTGGGCTCCGGAATCACTGCAGATGGTAACTGCAACCATGAAATTAAAAGATGCTTGCTCCTTGGAAGAAAAGTTATGACCAACCTAGACAGCATATTGAAAAGCAGAGACATTGCTTTGCCAACAAAGGTCCATCCAGTCAAGGCTATGGTTTTTCCAGTAGTCATGTATGGATCTGAAACTTGGACTATAAAGAAAGCTGAGCACCAAAGAAATGCTGTTGAACTGTTGTGTTGAAGAAGACTCTTGAGAGTCCCTTGGACTGCAAGGAGATCCAACCAGTCCATCCTAAAGGAAATAAGTCTTGAATATTCATTGGAAGGACTGATGCTGAAGCTGAAACTCCAATATTTGGCCACCTGCTGCAAAGAACTGACTCATTTGAAAAGACCCTGTTGCTGGGAAAGATTGAAGGTGGGAGGAGAAGGGGACAACAGAGGATGAGATGGTTGGATGGCATCACCGACTCAATGGGCATGAGTTTGATTAAACTCCAGGAGTTAGTGATGGACAGGAAGGCCTGGTGTGTTACAGTCCATGGGGTCACAAAGAGTCAGACACAACTGAGTGACTGAACTGAACTAAATTGAAAAGGGAAGACAAAAAATGTTAAAATGAAAAGCAAAATGCCATACTTAACTTAATCTAATTTCAAAACTGTTTTATACTCCAAAGCAAGGAAAATAAAAATAATTGCATGAGAATAGGAATATAGATCAATAGAGCAGTGAATAATTTCAAAATATATCAATACATATAAGGTCAATTAATAGTTTACAAATGCACCAAGGCAATTTAATGTGGCAAGGACGATGTTTCAATAAAGGGTGCCAGCATGGTTCAGTATCACTATGTCTTAAGTGAACATGGACTCTTGTGCTGCACCCCATGTAAAACATAACTCAAAATGGATCAAATGTGTAAGAACTATAGCTATAAAACTATCTTCAAGAAAAACTTGGACAAATCTTGGTAAACATGGGGTAAGGAATATTTTCTTAAATAAGACACAAAAGTCATGAACACTAAAAGGAAAGAGTAGAATCTTGATTTCATAAAAATAAAAAGCATTTGCTCTTCCAAAGAAATTTTTTTTAAAAAGTTATTGGACTATAGTTGTTTAACAATGTTGTGTTATTTTCTCTTCTCAGAACACTGAATCTGCCATACGTATACGTATGTATATCCCTTTTTAAAAATTTCCTTCCCCTTTAGGCCACCACAGAGCTTTAAGTAGAGTTCCCTGTGCTATACAGTAGATTCTCATTAGTTATTCATTTTATGCACAGTAGTAAATGTCCAATGACAGAGAAATAGGTACAGAAGAGGTGGCACATATATACAGTGAGATATGATGCAGCCACAAAACGTTACCAAAATTGTGCCATTACCAGAACGTGGATGGTCTACATATTGTCTGGGTCTGACATACAGAGTAAAGAGAAAAATAAATATTGTGTGTTAATGTCTATATATGGAATCTAGAAAAATGGTAGTGAAGAACCGATTAGACAGGCAAGAGTAGAGATGCAGACATAGAGAATGAATTTCTAGACACAGTTGGAGGAGGATTTGTTGCCATTCAGTCACTAGGTCTTGTCTGACTTTTTGCAAGCCCATGGACTGCAGCATACCAGTCTCCACTGTCCTTCTCAGAGTTTGCTCAGGGGGAAGGAGAGGGTGGGACAAACTGAGAGAGTACCATTGACATACACACACTACCTTGTTTAAATTAGATTGCTAATGAGAAACTGCTGCATAGCACAGGAAACTCAGTGTGGTATTCCGTGATGACCTTAGGGCTGCAAACATGGGGAGGGTAGGAGGGAGGATCAGGAGAGAGAGAATATATGTACACTTACAGCTGATTCACATTATTGTGTAGCAAAAACCAACAAAATATTGTAAAGCAATTATTTTCCAATAAAAAGTAAATTAAAAATTAAATAAGTTTTTAAAAAGAAATAAATTGCTAGGAAATAAGAGGCGAGGTGAAGTACTACCACCTATATAAATGCTCAGCCTTATAGACAAGATCAAAACTCAAGAACATAAACTCAAAATTCACAATTTATGCTAATGAACTATTAGGAAATAACTGTAAACGAATGCAATTCAACAATCAGACATTTACTGAGTATTTATTCCATGCTGGGTTCAAATCTAGGCATGTATGATCTGAGGTTTTGTGAACACACATGGCTGTTACAAAAACGAGTAAACATCATTGAGACAAGACTTTTGCCCTGTGCAAGAGTCTCTCCAGGGCCCCCATCATGTCCCTGTTCCTTAGGCTATAAATGAAGGGGTTCAGCAGTGGAGCGACCACTGTGTACATCACAGAAGCAATGGTGCTCTTGTCCCTGGAGGTGTTGGATGAGGGGAAAAAATACAGCCCAATAATTGTTCCATAATACAAAGACACCACAGAGAGGTGGGAGCCACATGTGGACAATGCTTTGCAGATCCCCTTGGTGGAAGGGACCTTCAGGATGGTGGTCCCAATGCATCCATAAGAGATCAGGATGCATATGAAAGGGAGGACGATGACAGCCACTCCTGCTGTGAAAATGGCCAGCTCATTGAGGGATGTGTCTGAGCAGGAGAGCTTCAGCAGGGCATCAAGGTCACAGAAGAAATGGGGGATGCTGTGGTCAGCACAAAAGGACAGCCGGGTCAGGAGGAGGGTGTGACACAGGGCATTGGCACAGGAGAGAATCCAGGATACAGTTACTAGTAAGGTGCACAGCCCCTGTCCCATGATGGTGCTGTAGTGGAGAGGGTGACAGATGGCCATGTACCGGTCATAGGCCATCGAGGTGAGCAGAAAATCATCCAGACCAGTAAAAAATAGGAAAAAATACATCTGTGTTATGCACCCTGCATAGGGGATGGATTGATCCTGAGTCTGCATGTTTATCAGCATTTTAGGGATGGTGACAGTTGAGAAGGAGATGTCAGTGAGGGCCAAGTGGCTGAGGAAGAAGTACATGGGGGTGTGGAGGCGAGGGTCCAGCCTGATGAGCAGAATGATGAGCAGGTTGCCCAGCACCGTGGTCAGGTACACGCCCAGGAACAGGGTGAAGAACACGCCCTGCTGCTTTGGCTGGATGGGGAGTCCCAGGAGGAGGAACTTGGACACACTGCTCTGATTTTCCCTCTTCATGCTCCTCTCCTGTCTGCTGGGAATGAAAAGACAGTGAAAGAAGCACATTTTGATTGCAGCCGGCATATCAAAATGAGTACTTTCTGTTGGTGAATATGTCAGGGTCTGTCTGCATTGCCCTGCAAAAACCCCTAAGGTGAATGGTATTACCATGTATAGTGAGGGAATTACCAACCAAGAATTGAGTTTGATACAGAAAAGAAACTGGCTCAGTGGCATTTTTCCATCACCTCAGTAAAGAGAAAGTATCACACTTTCTTAGCAGAGAAATAGTAAGCTAAAGACCTCCCTAATTTCTCTTCTGTTTCTGGACATAGAACCATAAGGTTTGACCTTCAGGTTGTGACATATTGACCTACAGAAATCTGACTTCAAAGTCCTTTCATATGTAAAGTATAAGGAGGACTGTTCAACAACCAATTCTCAAAGGAAAGTGGGTCAGAAATATACAGCCAAGAAATTTCCTGGCAGTCCTGTGGTTAATACTTCACCTTGCAAGTCAGGGGTTGTGAGTTCAATCCCTGTTCCACATATAAAGAAATCATATGCCTTACAGCTAAAAACCAAAACATGAAACAAAAATATATGGTAATAAATTCAACAAAGAATTTTAAAAATGATCCACATCAAAAAAATTCTTTAAAAATAAATAAGCAACTAAATAACCAGATTCCCTTAGGTATAAAGGTTGAAGAAAAAAAAATGAAGCTTACCTGTCAACTGAACTCAGATTTTGTAAGAGCTCAATCTTATAATATCACACTCTATGAAGTAAAAATATTACTGGCAGCTATATGATTACATTTACTAACACTCATATTTATCATTCTCCAATATCCTCCTGATTCAACAAAATCCTCTTGTTGAAGAGTTCCCTAATCCAAAATAAAAACAGTTGCTGCCAAGAGGTGTCAAAGAGATACGCCCTGATATGTCTTCTCTGCTCATCTTTAAGAACTAGTAATAAAAAGTATCATAATCAGAGCACAGAGACATGCTGGACACCTGTATATATATATATATATATACATATATATATATATATACACACACACACACACAAATGCACACCTGCTATTGCCGTAGGATATGCAGTTCTTTTCTGAACTTTATGCTTGACTGATCTAGTTGCCTTGAATAAGAACTGGTTTCTCAGCTTCTCTGTAGGATACCCGGAGACAAGATTGATCCACTTCTGTGGTCCTGAACCACTCACCAGCATCAGAGACAAAAGAGCTTGATCCTCAATTCAACAATGTCAGAAATGGAGACGTGAAGACTGTGCTCTGTCCACTAGGGAAGGGACCCAAGGGGACAGGGCTCCAAGCTCTTGGCTAGAGACACGCATAAACATATATTAATTGCTCAGTTTTCTTGTTTCTCCCTCCAGGACACATGCCCTAGGGCAGTGGTTCCTAGACTTTGATGTTCCCTAGAATGCCCTGGGGAGATTATTAAAGATGCAGATCCCAGCTCCAACTCCAGTAATGCTCATTATTGAACTCTGTGGCCAGGGAATTCTGACACATGTGGTCCGAAGGGCTGACACTGAGAAAACTGTATCCTTAGGAAGAACGTCATGCTGATGCCCCGTGGGTGTGAGCCCGAAGGAGATGTGGAAAGACCTGCTGACTGACCACTCCTACTAGCTTAAAGTTTCCCCTAGTTAAGTCAAAACTTGGGATGTGAGGATGGAGTTTTCTCCCAAGCCGAGATGTCTTTTTAGTCTGTTGCCTCTAAATAAATCTGCTTCACGGTAGAAATCCAAATACAGTATGAGAAAATTAAAGTATTTCCCCTGTCTTTTTTTCATTTTTTATACTTCCAAAATGGTTTTTATTCATAAAACTTTATATTTACATTTGTTGTTGTTCTATCTTAATGTTAGTCTTTCAGTCATGTCTGACTCTTTGCAACCCCATGGGCTATAGCCCACCAGGCTCCTCTGTCAGTGGAATTCTCCAGGCAAGAATACTGGAGGTGTTGTTCAACTACACTGCTGTTCAACTCCAGTGGTTGTTGTGCAGTGTGTAAGCCATGTCTGACTCTTTGCGACGCCATGAATTTCAACATGCCAGGCTTCACTGTTTTTCACTATTTTCCAGAGTTTGCTCAAACTCAAGTTCATTGAGTCAGTAATGCCATCCAACTATCTCATCCTCTGTCATCCCTTTTATCCTTCCCTCAATCTTTCACAGTGTCAGGGTCTTTTCCAATGAGTTGACTCTTCACATCAGGTGGCTAAATTTTTGGAGTTTCATCTTCAGCATCAGTCCTTCCAATGAATATTCAGGGTTGATTTCCTTTAGGATTGACTGGTGTTTTTTCCTTGCTGTTCAAGGGACTCTCAAGAGTCTTCTCCAATACCACATTTGGAAAGTATCAATTTTGCCACTCAGTCTTCTTTATGGTCCAACTCTCACATCCATACATGACTACAGGAAAACCACTGCTTTGAATAAATTACCTTTATTGGAAAAGTGATGTCTCTGCTTTTTAATATGCTGTGTAGAAATGTCATAGCAGTTCTTCCAAGGTCAAGTGTCTTTTATTGTCATGACTGCAGTTACCAAATGGAGTGATTTTGAACCCAAGAAAATAAAATCCGTCACTGTTTCCACTTTCCCCTCATCTATTTGCCATGAGCAATGGGACAAGGTGCTATGATCTTTGTTTTGTGAATGTTGAATTTTAAGCCAGCATTTTCATTCTCCTCTTCCACCCTCATAAAGAGGCTCTTTAGTTCCTCTTCGCTTTCTGCCATTAAAGTGGTGTCACCTGCTTATGTGAGGTTGTTGATGTTTCTCCCAGCAATCTTGATTCCACCTGATGATCATTGAGTCTGGCATTTCACATGATGCATTCTGTATATAAATTAAATAAGCAGGATGACAATCAAAAAATGGGTCAAAGATCTAAACAGACATTTCTCCAAAGAAGACATTCAGATGGCTAACAAACTGAAAAGATGCTCAACATCACTCATTATCAGAGAAATGCAAATCAAAACCACAGTGAGGTACCATTACACACCAGTCAGAATGGCTGCCATCCAAAAGTCTACAAGCAATAAATGCTGGAGAGGGTGTGGAGAAAAGGGAACCCTCTTACACTGTTGGTGGGAATGCAAACTAGTGCAGCCACTATGGAGAACAGTGTGGAGATTCCTTAAAAAACTGGAAATAGAACTGCCATATGACCCAGCAATCCCACTTCTGGGCATACGCACCGAGGAAACCAGATCTGAAAGAGACACGTGCACCCCAATGTTCATCACAGCACTGTTTATAATAGCCAGGACATGGAAGCAACCTAGATGCCCATCAGCAGACGAATGGATAAGGAAGCTCTGGTACATATACACCATGGAATATTACTCAGCCATTAAAAATAATTCATTTGAATCAGTTCTAATGAGATGGATGAAACTGGAGTCCATTATACAGAGTGAAGTAAGCCAGAAAGATAAAGACCAATACAGTATACTAACGCAAATATATAGAATTTAAAAAGATGGTAACAATAACCCTATATGCAAAACAGAAAAAGAGACACAGATGTACAGAACAGACTTTGGGACTCTGTGGGAGAAGGTGAGAGTGGAATGTTCAGAGAATAGCATTGAAACAAGTATACTATCAAGGGTGAAACAGATCACCAGCCCAGGTTGAGTGCATGAGACAAGTGCTCAGGGCTGGTGCACTGGGAAGACCCAGAGGGATGGGAAGGAGAGGGAGGAGGGAGGGAGGCTGGGATGGGGAACACATGTAAATCCATGGCTGATTCATGTCAATGTATGGTAAAAACCACTACAATAAAAATAAAATAAATAAATAAATAAATAAATAAGCAGGGTGACAATATACAGCCTTTATGTACTCCTTTCCCAAACTGGAACCAGTCAGTTGTTCCATGTCCCATGCTAGCTATTGCTTCTTGACCTGCACACAGGTTTCTCAGGAGGGAGGTAAGGTGCTCTGGTATTTTCATCTCTTGAAGAATTTTCCAGTTTGTTGAGATCTACACAGTCAAAGGCGTTAGAATAGTCAGTGAAAGAGGAGTAGATGTTTCTCTGTAATTCTCTTGATGTTTCTGTCATCCAACAGATGTTGGCAATTTGGTCTCTGGTTTCTCTACCTTTTCTAAATCTAGCTTGGACTTCCAGAAGTTCTTGGTTCACATACTGCTGAAGCCTAGTTTGAACGGCTTTGAGTATAAGCTTCCTAGCATGTGAAATGAGTGCAGTTGTACTGTAGTTTTAACATTCTTTGGTCTTGCCTTTCTTTGGGATTGAAATAAAAACTCCCGTTTTCTAGTCCTGAGGCCACTGGTGAGTTTTCCAAATTTGCTGGCTTACTGAGTGCAGCTGTTTAACAGCATCATCTTTTAGGATATATTTACATAAATGGGATTTATTTTGCACGGTATCTTAGAGCTTTCTTGTCCTAAGATAAATTTATTGCAATAATACTTGCAAGTCTACGTCTTTGCTTATCAGTGCATAGAATATATATAACATTAATACATTAATTTCTCAAATTTTTAGTTGCTCTCTTGTGGAATTAACTGAATGATTCTTTAACAAAGAATCTTTAATTCTTCAATAAGGTAAAATTTGTTAAATATTATAGTACACCCTGAAATCTTCTCCTGTGTCAGTTGTCTGATCAAGGTTACTTAATTATCTTCAAAGCATCCATTTTAACAGGCTCCATTGTCTTAGTTTCCCCGTGCCTGTGGCTTGCTCCTTTCAAGAGAGAACAATCGAACTTTGGAAATGTCCATGAAAATACATGAAGAATGGAAGTCTAGGTGGAAGCCCATGGAAAGAGAGGCAATAAAGCCAGACTGTTTTCATTCACCCAAGGAATCATCTAAGTCAGAGCTTATGGAATGAAATAAATGAATAATAAAGGAAAGTTGCATCATGATATTTTATACATGTATCAAATATCAAACTCCTTCAAAATACTGTGATTTCCAACTTTACACCCCAAACA